TTAATCAATCCAGCGGAGAGAAATGATTGATGTCAGGCCTAGCCCAAGGAACTCCAAGAGACCATGTAAATTCAGTCCAGCTATGTTTATTAGCTACAACCTCTAGCAAGAATCTTCCCAGACTGAAACCCCCGCTCCCAAGGAATGCCAGCCACAACCATTTGAATTCCTCAGGAGGTGCCAGCTTCACCCCCTTTAATTTCCCCCACCACTCCGCAGATTCAAGAAAATGTTTTTCTCCCTGAGATAAAGTTGGAAAGAGTTGTTAGCAGTTAAAAGAGGCCATAAACAACATTTTAGTCCTGAGAACAGGAGATGAAAGAAAATGTTTTTCTCCCTGAGCCTGGCCTTCATAATTCCATTCCATCACAGAAGGCCACATCATGAGGACATGGCATAAAAAGTGGTTCTGGTGAGGGCCACATGGTAGAATATTGTTAGAGTGCATATTTACTACAGTACGCTATAAGACACTTGTGGTTGAGTTTCAAGAGGATGTGGTTTGTGCAGTAGACATTTGACAGCAGGTAGAACAGTCTTTGAAAAGGGGAAGGGGAATGGTTTTGAGGTATTCAGAAGCTACCAAGTGACCTTGTTAAGAGACCACCTACGACCCTAGTGTAACCAAAACCTAATTAACATAGTAAAACGCACACCCCTAAGGTAGAGATTTTAGAAAACATAGAACATGCTAAGCTTATTTTGGAATGTTAGCATGTAACATGGAATCAGGTGCATCTGTGCAACAGTGTAACCAGTCATGTTTTTTTACATGCCTACTTCCCTATTTTTGAAAAGTATAAAGATTGATGTAAAACTTTAGTCAAGGTTCCTCTCCTTGGGGAGAGGGGACCCTTTTTGCTGAAGCGCTTCAATAAAAAGAATAAAGGATTCCCCAACTCGGTGTGTTGATTGGACCTTGTATGCCAGGTAGATGAGCCTGCCACTCTTTTGTGGCCAACACTGGGTGCATAGTCATGCCATGGTTAGGGGAAAGTGAGGAAGACCCCCATTACAACCATTTAACAGTACATCCTCAGCTTCAGTGTATTCACATGGGTGCAGAGGAAAGCAGAGATAAAGTTGGAAAGAGTTGTTAGCAGTTAAAAGAGGCCATAAACAACATTTTAGTCCTGAGAAAGGAAGGAGTGTCAGAAATAGATTCAAGATAACCCACCTTGATGCTGTATGGTATACAAGGGGCAGAAGGAAACTCTGGCGGCCTTTCAAGTGGAGTTTCAGAAGTCCTCACGGTGCCTCTTTCCTCATCTGGCCTACCTCAATGGGCTGAACAATGTATGTGTACATGCAAGCTTCTACATGCAACAGCCAATATATACATACAGTTCAACATTAACCACTCTTCCTGACGAGCATGTACAGTATGGCTGAATGTGCGCACTGCATCACAAATTCCAGGGTCCAATTAAACAATGTAATGTAGAGAAAGTCTCTGACTCATTCATAAACCATACAGGGAACCATGATCCGGAAAAATCTGTGTTTTTCTAAACTTTCTTTTCCCTGATGAGTGTAGGACTGATTGGCAGTAAGGGACTCAGAAAATGAGATAGGGAATCTGTTTTACAGGCTTTTCAGTTTAGTTTATTGTTAATTTTAATCTGCAATTTTAATTTATGGTGGCATATTTTTTGTTTTTAAATTTTGTTAGCTGCCCTGATTGCTTACTAGAGTAGAAAAGCAGGGTAGAAATCAAATTAATCAATCGCAGAATTCAGCTATTTCGGGGTAGGGGTGCAAGGATAAGAAGGCTTCATATAATTCAAGGGATACTTGTTCCTCAGAGTGTCACTATCTGAGATGTCTTACACTTGGACCATCTTTCCTTTCTCTAGAAGGGGTATGAACTGCATTGCCGAAGGAACTCATCTATCGCCAGAAACGCTACTGCACTATGTGAATAACATATAGATGTTCATATTGTACTGAAGTGCACAAACTGCAGCCCACAGGACACACGCAGCCTCCCATTCTCCCCCCGCCCCCAAATGGTAGGATCCTGTCTTCTTTATTCTGTCTCCTCCTCTGTATAAGAGATTTGGGGTGGGGCGGGGATATCTTCGAAAGTTTTTTTTCTTGTCACACATAATTTATATGTGATCATCAACTGACACAGAGGTATGGGGATCAGCATAAGAAAGCAGGCATTAGCATTTACCTGTTCAATAGTTCATTACAAGCAATCATATTAATATTCATTTCATTTCATTTCATTTTAGTTTCCCATCTACTTTTTAATTTTATGTGGCTCCCATCTCCTTTTGCTAGTTTGGCCCTCGATCCAATGAAAACTCACACTGTAACGCATGCTTTGCAAAATGCTTATTCCTGCCTGCTCCTATATTTCACACATTACAGTATATGATAGGCTCTATTGCCCTTTCAACTCAGAAGATCATCTTTTTACAGTTCTGTATCATAGTGACCGATAGATCAAACTAGATCTCATTTTGCAGCCCATTATTCTTTTAAGGACTTCGGTTTACAGTAAATGGAGACTTTCCTCTTTTTTCCTCACAGCACTGTAAAGCAGAATAGGTTTTATTTGTTAATGTTTTTGTTCTTTTTCACATTTGTTCTTAATGGAAGGCCACTATCGGTTCGCATCAGAAGAACAGAGATGGGAAAGAAAAGCTGTCATTCCACCTTCCACTAGAGGCTGCTACAGCATCAGAGCAAGGGCAACGAAAATGAACAATTATTCGAACCAGAATCATTTAATATCCCTTGAATGAAAGAATTCAAATATTCCCTACAACTAGTTAAAATAGGTCATTTGGTTTGAAGCCTAATCAGTCCACACAAGTTTTATCTTGTTGTACGGCTTCCATTCACATTTG